AGGATTACGCATAACTCCAACAACATTGATTTCTCTCTTTCAACAGAATAAAAAACAATTGAATTTAACGAATGATGAACGTACATTATTAGGAGGTGTTCTTGTTTATTGGACATTGGAACAACAACTTGAACGAGCATTATATTTTGATACTCATGATAAAATAGAAGATTTAGAAAAAGAACTTTCAAATATTCCACATTCAAATTGGATACCATCTGAACATATATCATGGCTTATTTTAGAACTCGAAATGAATATAACCATTCGAGAAATGCAAATTAAAGTTGCACGTCATATGATGCAACCAAATTCGAATTTAAATAATCAAGAAATACAAAATATAGTTATGCAAATGAATATGGGCGAAGGAAAAACATCAGTGATTTTACCTATGTTAGCTGTTAGTTTACCATCATCGTCTTCTAATTTAGTTCGAATCATCATACTCAAATCATTATTTCCTACAAACTATCAATCATTACGTTGTAAATTAGGAGGTCTAATCAATCGGCGTGTATTTCCATTTATATGCCGTCGAGATTTGAATTTTACTGATGAACAAATTCAATCAATTCATTCTCGTTTACGAAAAGCTTTACTGAATTGTGATATAATGATAACTTCACCTGAAGATATTCTTTCTTATGATCTACTTACTATTGATCAATGTCGACGACATTTTTTTGCAACAGGAAAATCAATGTTAGCAATGCAACGATGGTTGAAAACATATGCTCGTGATGTCTTAGATGAATCCGATGAGATTTTACATGTCAAATATCAGTTAGTTTATACAGTGGGTAGTCAACGACAAGTTGATGGTGGTGCTGAACGATGGAATACTATTCAATCAATTTTAAAATTAGTTAAACAACATGCTGCTAATATTTCAAATGAATTTGACAAAGATGTTTGTTATAAACCATCGGAACGAAAAAGTGCTTTCCCACAGTTTCGTTTACAGTCATCGACACCATTTCGATCTCTATGCGAATATATAGTGAAAGACTGGCTTCGTACTAGAAACTATCATGAAAACGATGAAGAGAGTATTCTAACATTTGTTATGAACGTAGACGTTTCAATTGAAATAGTTAAAGATAAATTTCCTGCCAGTGATATTCAATCACTTCTTATCATTCGAGGTCTGTTATCATCTGAAGTTCTTTTAGTTGCTTTAAAAAAACGATATCGAGTCAATTATGGTGCGAATCGAAAGGATAACTTTAATCATTTAATGGCTGTACCTTATCGTGCAAAGGATGTCGTTGCTGATAGAACTGAATTTGGTCATCCCGATTTGGCTTTAGTTTTGACACATCTATCATATTATTATTCAGGTTTAAATGATGAACAACTAACTCGAGTTTTCGATCGATTATCTGAAGAAGAAAATAATCCTGTAATTATTTATGATGAATGGATTACGTATGAAGGAATAGATAATTTACCAGCTACTATCAAAGAATGGAAAAGTGTTAATCTAAAAGATCATCAACAAAGAACACGCGATCTTTTTCCTATATTTCGATACAATATAGTAGTAATCAATTATTTCCTCAATTATTTTGTTTTTCCTCGTGAAGCTAAACAATTTCCACATAAATTAGTTTCATCACCTTGGGATTTATCGTCATCATTTTCACGAAGACATATTATCACTGGATTTAGTGGTACAAATGATACACAACTATTATTACCGATTCATATTCGTCAATTTGATTTGCCTGAATTACAAAAAACCGATGCTATTGTTGTCAATAATTTATTACAAGTTGAAAATGAGAATTATCAATGTTTAGCTATCAATGCATCATCAACTGAAATCTTAGAAATTATTATGAAAAGTAAAACATCTATCAATGTTATTTTAGATGTTGGTGCTTTGTTTATTGACGGAATGAATAGAGAAATCGCTTTGAAATGGTTGAATCTATCCGATAAAAATAAGATTGATTATGCAGTTTACTTTGATTCGGATTCAATTGTTGTTTGTGATCGTCAATTGCGTCAAAGTCCATTTGCAACATCACCAGCTAGTGAACGATTAGAACATTGTATTTTTTATCTTGATGAAATTCATACACGAGGAACTGATTTTAAATTTCCACGAGGATTTCAAGCAGCCGTTACATTAGGTGTTCATCTAACAAAAGATCGTTTTGTTCAAGCTTGTATGAGAATGAGAAAATTAGGTAATGGACATTCATTGGCATTTTTCAGTTCACATGAAGTTCATCAACAAATTATTCAATTGAAAAAGAATGTCAACAATATTGAAGTAATCGATCTTCTTCGTTGGGTATATGAAAATACTATTGACTCAACGTGGAACGGATTACACTACTGGGCTACTCAAAGTCTTAGTTTTCAACGAAAACTTGCTGCTTTTCGAGAAATTCAATGGAATAATCAAGAACAAGTATTTGATAATGAAATGATGAAACAATTAGCTCAAGATAATTTAGAACCAGAAATTTTAGATTTGATTGATATGTATGGAGAACGAAAGGTTCCTTCAACTTTGTATGATATTCATTCAGCTCGTTATAATGCGACTAACTATAATATAACTGTGAATATTCGCGATGAAGTTCTACAAAGATTAAGAAATTATGGTGGCAAGAAAACACGTTTAGCACAGTTATTAGATGAAGAACAAGAACGAGAACTCGAACAAGAATTAGAAGAAGAACGACAACTAGAGCGACCACCACCAGCTGAACCTTGTGAACGTAAACTACATGACATAATCAAACAGTTGTGTAATAAAAATATTCCAATGATCAATTTAGAAGATCATCCTATGGTATTTCAACATTTACCTTTTGCATTAATAGGCACTACATTAGAAGAGGATTGTCAACCAAAGAGTTGGTATTCAAATCTATGGATTTCCACCGAATTTCAACGTGTTATTGCTACAGAAGATGCATCATTAAATTCATTTTTACGTCCACCACGTTGGATTGTTGTCTATCGAAATCAACATATTATTTTCGTTAGTTCTTACGAAGCCAATTGGTTGTTGGGTCGATTGTCATTGATCGACTCACCAATCACTACTTTACGTTTATTTTTGCCACGAATCAAACGTAATCAATCAATATTTGTCAATACATTACCACTTACTATTCCTCCGTCGATCAATGTTTCAAATGAAAATGATATTTATCTCGTTCCACTGGATCGTTTAGTCCAGTTATTTCTCTTCAACGGTACTCTCTATTTTGACAATACTGAAGAACAAACAATGTTTTGTCAATGTTTGAGTTTATGTCCAAAAATTCGAAATGAAATCGAAGAGAACGCTTTTCAATCCCATAAAATTGATATCGATGGATTTGTACATTCTGAACATCGCGATGAATTACAGATTACCCATGCTCGATTAAAAGAAAATCCAATTGATTTTGTAAAACAAATTCTTGAAATTCGAAATAATATTTTTCCTACAACAACATCACACGTTGGTAGTATCATTCTCAACGCTTTCAAACTTTTCTAACGAATTCAAAGTTAAATGTAATTAAATTTTTTTAAAAATAAACAAGACTTGTTATGTTTGTTGTTCTTTCATTTCACTCTTAAATATTTGAGTGAGTGGGTATGTGATGAGTATACCATCATATCCACACTCTATTTTCTTTAATTAATTATAACTATCTTACCCATAGATATGTCAAATAATTCAATTCTAATGAGAGAAAAAACTGAGTGGTTTTCACCAACGTTGATATTGGTGTTATCAGCACCCACGACTGTTAATTCATTAATATCCAAATAATTATTATCGATCAATTGTCGAGCATTAGTAAAAACTTTATTCGCTGTTTCATCTACATCTGTTATCAATTCAAAAAGGTCGAAGATAATAAATTAAATTCAGAAGAACAATACCTTTGCTGACATCATTTGTGAATAAGAACTGAACACAAAAATGGATACATTTTAATATTTCCTCTTTTTACCAGCATCGTACATTAACGAATAATGAAATGCTCTTCTCAAATCATCAATCAAATTTTATGTAAAACATGGTGCTAAAACATTCAGGGCAATAAATGTTGATTTTGTTCAAGCGCACGATAAATGAGTTGCTGTTGTAGAGAACGAGAACATTTTTTTACAGACATTATCAATCTTTTTCTTTTGATGATTTCATTGTTTTTGTAATTAATTGTCGATTAGTATTAAATGATTTATAATTGTTTTGATGCTTTTAAGTTTTTCTATGATGGTCAATATCAGCTTTTCCTCGATAGTGTACTGAAAATTGCTGGTTACAAGCAATGCATGTGGCCTGAGTTATACTCTTTCGAAAATAATTTATATTCTATGATCTTTAACCATTCTTTGTTAAATATTCCTTTTTTCAACTTCTTTTTTTTCGATTGACCATTGGATGATATTTGTGACTTGATTGTTACTGATGCTTTACTATCTTCATCTTGATCGATATAGCTATCAATAACATCAGTCATTTTATTCTGCTAAGCACAAATATTACAGCTTATTATATTCTTAACCAACAACGAACAATAGACAGAATATTGTATACAATGAATTGAAAGATTTGGATGATTGATCGGAAATAATTCAGAAAGAAAGATATCGGTAAAGAAGGGCCTCAACAAGTGGCGTATATATTGGCCGTTTTCATTAACCACTGGAAATTCGAGATCGCCAGCTTTTTGATTTCCATTATACAACAAAAACAACAATATACGTCACTAAGAATTCATCGGATATATATGGAATAATGATGTATTAGAACTGAAATCGAGTTAAAAATGAAAAGCAAATAATATTTAAAAAGCAGAAAAAAATTGAAAAAGCAGAAGCGGTGGTAACCTTGGTTGCAAAGTTTTGTTGAAGTTCTTAATACAGAGTGAAGATAAATGTTAGTCTGTATTGTATAATGTTTCATAAGAGTAACGTACTTAGTAGAGTAGTAAAATATTAACGAATAAATAAAGATCACCCATAAATAAGCCTTAACAATGCAAGAGGACGCTGACAGTGTTCGAAGTTGAACCAGAGTTTGCAACAATAATATCAGGTTTGTTATCACTATTTACATCGGCGACTGCTACTGAGTATGGACTAATACCAACTGCGTAAGTAGTTTGAGCAGTAAAGGTACCATTGCCTGCGTTGGCAAGGATACTGGTAGTGTTCGAAGCATAGTTTGCAACAATAATATCAGGTTTATTGTCACTATTGATGTCGACAACTGCTACCGAAATTGGACTACTGCCAACTGCATAAGTAGTTTGAGGGTTAAAGGTACCATTGCCTGTATTGAGAAGAACACCGACGGTATTTAAATCAGAGATTGCAACAATAATGTCTGGTTTATTGTCGCTATTCACGTCGACGACTGCTACTGATGTTGGCATACCGCCAAGTGCGTAAGTACTTTGAGGAT